ATATTAAGATTGGTAAACACCTGGAATGTCTGAACGGTTTTTGCTTGCACCCTGACTAGGTATTGTGCAAAAGGAAATGCCAAAGCCTGGCCCGAGGTCTTGTCTAGGCAGGAGGTCAACTGAGTGTCATTTCACGTAAATGCCATACCTTCACTAGTGGTTTAGTTTAGGGGCTTGACCCTAATGGAATGTTGAGGAATATAGGTTACATTGAAAACGTAGGTACAAATATAAAAGAACTAAGACACTGCGTTTACAAAAGTTGCAGGGATCTACGATTATTGGTGTATTAAGGACATCTTTCGTGGAAGTATTCTATGAACCAGGAAACACGTAACAGTATTCACAATTTACGATGTAAATGTACGATGCAACTGGAAGACTGTGGTCTCTGCGTACCCCGACGGGAAAAGTGCGTGAAGTATATGTAGGTACGTATGTTCTTACATACACCAAACACAAAGTTATAATGCACACATTAGTTAAATAACGGTATGAATTATTTAACGTTGTAATTTGTTTTAATAGAGACAGACCATTAGGTAGTGAATGCATACACAACAGGTAGTAAATGTACTTGCCGTTTAATTTCCAGTCATATCTGAACGTATTTCATAAAGTCAAACTCTGCAAAAGGTACACTGCCTGGTAAGATAAAGGATGGGAAGCGGAAAACAATACTAAGTACAAAAGCACCAAGAGGCAAGGCCGGTAATTGCTTATATTTCCCCTATAGAATTCCGCTGGTTTTTGCTCACAAGTGAACGAGAGTTTCGCTCTATGTGTGGCCTATACTTTCATAGGGAACATAGTTTTCCCACCGCAAAGCCTATGATTACTGTCACAATGAGTTTGTTAAGATACCTTTATTTTACTTGTCGTACAGGTTACTTCTTGGCCTGGATCAAGTGTACAAGTAACGTGAAAGAGAATTGTTACATTATATCTAGATGTGTTCTGTTTTTTTTTACAATAGGCCTAATCGCCGTTTAGATATGTTAACTTTTGCTTGTAACCACTGTCGCATGGTAAGCATCTTATGTTGGTTGTATATTGCGCCGACTCGATGTTACGACCTGGATTAGCAAAAGTAACCTTGAAATCCGTTACAACTTCTGAAATTTCTATTAATACTACGATCTACTAATGTCAATTTTTATGGCCGTGTAACGAACAGCGAGTATTGTAAACTTAACATAATGCACTTTATTTCAATTGTGTAACGTGCAAACTAAATACAAGCCAAACAACAGGTCGCATGTCTTCTGGAGAATTTTGCGTAGTCTCAGGAATTCCCGTAGCTACCGTATTGTATCTAAGGTTTGTACGTTACACAATTGACACCAAGTTAATTACGCGGTGTACAATTTCGTTACAAAAATTTGCTTCCATTTCGATTAGCGGCAATGTAAATTGAGCCTTATACAGACCATCGTATAAACTATAGCTTTGGCTAGAGCCAAAGTTTTACATCATAACAAGTACAGACTCATGCTGATATTGCATCAATATCGCCCACTTATCGGTACTTCTTTGCGATTTAGTTTACATCACGAACTAAAGATCCCGCCAAGATTGCAACCAGACGACTTACTATTAAGGTATACATCGTTTGATCACTATCATTTCACTATCGTACTAACACTGACCTTACTGATCTAATAACGGATTGTAAAGATTTAGAGTCATTGTTTTGCATTTGGTTTTGATAATGTGTTGTAAATGTTTTTGTGAACACTTTAGAAAACGAACTTTCAAAACACGTTTTGCGCTTGAAGTTACATTAAAGTTAATATATAAAAAAACAGAATTGCTTTGGTTCAGTAGACACTTTTACATTATCTACCAATCTTGAAAAAAAAAACAGTAGCCAAAACGACAATCAAATTTCGATTTCGATTACATCAATTTCACAGATTTCTATCTTCGATCAGTATAATCAATATAATATATCGTTTTTTTCAATATTTGGTACCAACTCTATTATTTACCGAAATTAAAGCAATTTCCGAAGCCCGTAATTGGTTACGTTACGTCGAAGTTATCCAAGATCCAAGACGATTCGATTCGACATCTCAGATTAGATCGTTCAACTTTTGAGCGTGACATCCGGCGTTTTATGAAGAAAAAGAAACAAAAAAATAGCCACACTGCGAGGGTCCTAGCCTCTCCTGACTCATCTTGGTCTGTTATCGAAATCGGAATCAGTACGGTACCGATGGTCAGAAAGAACAGTAACTTCGGTAAAATGGTAAATCGAAATTTCAATAGTGTTTTAAAAGAAGTGCTGTGTTTACTAATGGTGAGATATTTCATTGCAAAACTTTAACATACTAGTGATGTGGTTGAGAGTATTGCTGAAACTGCTGCAATAGAAGAAACTATCCAAAAGACCAAGAAGCTGTGATAGTTCAGTGTAATGAAACTAGTTCTAATCGAAATTTTACTCGCTACAATAGGGAAATAAAAATATTAAAAACATTTTATGCGAACTAAGAAATATCACGAAAAACTAATTGAAGTTCGGAGAAACAATCGTATCGTTGAGCAAGAGTTAATCAGAGCAATCGCTTATTTTACAGCAATGAGTGAAATTCCAAAACGCAATAAACGAATAGAAACAATTGTACAGGGAATTTAAGGAAGGTTCAGATTGCGAATAATCGTGAACGGTGCAAAGAGCATTTGATTTAACTTTTCACGTAAAAACAGACAGTGTTGGCGGTAATCACATAATTTCCAAGTAGACAATTTCGAATCTTTGACCGAATCAACTTTTATTTCACCGCAGAAGTACTTTCAGTGGTTTTCAAATTACGCTGTCATCGTGAAATTATGTTGAAAGTTTAATGTTCAAAATTACTTTTGGCAAAACTAAACTGACAAAAACACATAAAAATAAAAAAGGTACCACAAATGAATTAAAAAAAATCGTGATAACGTGAAGATGGTGCTTAATTGAGAGGAAAATGACGCAATAGATTGGAGTACTGTGCATGACGTCGATTAATAAAATCAAATCAGTCGTAATAGAATCTATCCAATACCGACATGTAACAGTTAGCTATTGTATCGAAATTGAACACGGAACGTGTTGCGTTAGAAATAACATAAGAAAAAATAGTACAAACAGCGGCGGTCGTAGATGTACAAAAAGATCTTTGTTGTTAAACTGATGTCAATACAGGTCACTGGAGCAGATTAGTTTGAAGATCTAGGGACTGATACTTATCAAAATTAAATCTCCCAGCAGGTGATCACTGTAATCGCTGACAACATAAACTAACTAGATATAACGGTCGACAGTGGTTCAAGCTTGTTCGTACCAACGTTTACACGTGTATCGAGCTTGTCCAACAAGCGAAAGTGAACGTTTTTAAAACGCCGTCTTCCGACATTGTTTTTATTGTTTTTGTATAGCACACATCAATCATTAAAATTGTAATACAATATGTCAATTCACAACACAATGCTGCATGAAAAATGTGCAAATGTGATGGGTATTGTATGTAAGTTATTGCAAAAAGCGAACAATGTATTATAGTGAAGGATTTCTTGATAAAATTTTGTTTCGTGGCTTTTAGTAAAAGTTAAATAATGCATGAAGGAAAGTCACGAATTGCAGATATTAAACTCAAATAAACGTTACTAGCGTTTTGGGATTTTTATGACGTGGTTAAGCCTTTCTATCTTGCATGTCATTATAAAGATATATTAAATTAACTTCTGGTGTAAAACTGGAAAAGAAATCAAATGGCGTTAACGAAATTTATAACAAAATTTTGGCACCTCCCCCTATAACAGGTTTATTAACCTGTAACGTGACGACGTAATCGGCACAAAATCGCAAGGTGCATGACCGTGAAGCATTGCTAGTAGAACCATCGCGCACGCACGAATAACTCTATTCAGAGCAGAATACCAAACAGATTTCAGTGAGCATTTTAAAGATGATAAACATATTGAGCTGCTAATTGACTGAATTAATGAATATACACATTTATTATGGTAAATAGTCGAATAGAAAGAATTGTACTTTTTTTTGGTACACATTATACTTATGAATGGTCTGTAAATTAAAACATTAGACGGGGTTGAGTAGATTTCACAGTAGAGGAAGTGAATATTTTTTTAAAAGCAAATAAATTATAATAAACAATCAAACAATAGTACGATTATATATTAAAAGTATATATTCCCACGTAACAGATTTATGGCTCTAAGAAAATAAAGTTGTAAGGAAAAAAACAAAACACGTATGTAATTAATTAGTACTAACATCCCATAAAATCTTGTATGCTACGTGCAGTACCGTCCGTTCTTGGAAATTGATGAATAGTTGTGATAATTAACCCCGTTATAACTACTTATTATGCAGTACATCACGTCAGAATCAGATCAATCAGAGTTCAATAAGAGAGAAACAATCATCGATGCAACTCCCACAAGTATGGAGAGTTTGCTAGGGTTTCTCAGCATTGTATTTGCAATAAGCGATGCTGCTGCTATGGATATAGATGTTCAGGTCAATGCATCTATAGACGCATTGTAACTGTAACTTAAAACTTAGTCCGAAGCTCGGACTGAAACGTTCAGTTGCATATATTTCTGAAACCAATTCTCAGCGTTTTAAAGTCGGAAGCTTTGAATGGGTTTCGGAAGGGTAATATGATTTGATTTTTCAGTCTAAACGTTACGTATAATTGACAGATATCAAAGGATGTTTTTCCATTTCGTTATTAGTTTCATAAATCGAAGAAATAAAACGTCAATCAGATAGGCTTTCGGTGAAACCACCGCAAAGATAATTTGGCATAGCAATCATATCATAATTTATACAAATCAATTATACTTATATGTCAAAAAGAACGGTATCCCTAACATTTATGGACATTTTGTACAGTATCTGAACATTGTACTATAACGTATTGGCTTAACAAATGGCAGATTGTCAGTTACTGTTACTCCAAATTTTAATCGTCTATTGTTTTATATTCCAGACTGTGCCCCTGCCGGCGGGGTCGACTTCGGTGCTGGCCAAACCGACGAAGTATCACTACTATCCTCACAATCAACACATTTATCTTCTCCCAGAATGCGCTATTCAACAGGTATGTCTCTGATAATATCTTCAACTGGAATTTTAATTGTATTCATAGTAACCTATGGGCAATTTTTAGTTTAATGTCCATTGTTATCCCTACATATTTTATAAGAATTCTATGACTGGTCGACATAATATCACACACCGGTACATTTTGCAGAATAGTACAAAAATTACCGAAATAATGCATACTGCATTATATCGAGATTTCTTTATGTCTAGTGGGTTATTTTATTAAGTCTGATAGGTTATTTTACTTTTTATTTTAGACCTAATTTGAAAATAAAAAAAAGACTATAATTTTCTCATTTATTTGTTTTAATTTACAACTATCACGTATTCGTCGAGTGGCTGGAGGTTGATTTTACGTTTTTGCATATTTCATAAACAACTTGATTTATTTATTTATTATAGTTTCATTTAACCAATGTAAAACAGTTACAATTTTATAATTTTCAGTATTTTTTGCCTTGTCTCAAAATCTAAAGGAAACTGCATTTTGTTTTGTGAAGGTTGGTAAGGTTACTACTAAGTTGATGTTAAAAGATGTTGATTTGGTTACTGCGTTATATTTAATTCTAATTTACTATTTTATATTCTCACTTTTTTTGTTCCGCTAAATATGTATGTGTTTTCATCTCATCAAAAAAATCAATTACAATATTTGACGACCTCGGTGGCTCAACGGTTTGCGCTGGTTAGAAAAGTACCGAGTTCGATTCCCGGCAGGACCAATTTGGGAAATTAACTTTTTAAAATTCATCTTGGTCTGGGTGTACTGGATAGTGCCGCGGAGTGAATTCAGTTGCTTTGATAGTACAGGGAATTTCCTAGTTTATGAACATGTGATTGATGTGGTTCTTTGACACATTATTATAGTCAAAGTCAAAGTAAAATCATCTGTATTTCATAGGTAAGCAAATTACACTTGAAATCGTCATACTGATTAAATTCTACTGCTCATTCGCAAAGCGGATTCCCCTGAGAAGAACGAACAGAGAAAAGAAGAAACTCTAGGGGTTGCTCTTTGTAAATATAGGTACATTTGTATACTTTTCTTATAACAATATTTAATTTAAACATCTTAGATCGAGAATACCTGAAAGAGCTAAACGGGACACCACCAAGGATTTTTTGTCATCCAAACGCAGAAGTTGTATAATAAACCTTTAGTATAAAGGTTTTGTTTCACAATAGCAATATAATACCGAAGCCTAAATAAATACAAGTAGATTGCAATTGTAAAAGTAGTACAGTGTTTAAGTTAGCGAATTAGGTTTATAATCTAGTTTACAATGAAAATATGAACGTAATAAAGTATGTCTACTAAAATTTCAGGTGTGCAATGCAGTGTACGTGAGGTTAAATTACACGCAACCTCTATGTGCATGTCCAGCGCGGTATAGAGACCCATGCTCGGCTAGTCTAAACGCCGATGACCTGCATACCACTAGGTTGACTACAGATTCCAAAAAGAAGGTAAGATTTTTAACACTTTTTTACAACTTTCCATTTATCTGCATTTTACGTCTTTACCCTTATTCCGAATAGACAATAGAGAGATTCAAAATTGCAAATAACCTAACTAGCATCCAATGAGAAAATGTGGATGGGTTACTAAATATATATTCGTAAATCAATCACGCCGAATCGCATGAATGAATTTAGAATAAATTCGGTAGATAAGATCTATCTATATAACCAGCACGCTTATTTGAGCATTAAAATAAAAGTCTGCCTTTCCCAATTTATCAATATTGCCGGAAAATAATAACGTCACATGAGTTATCTGTACAAGGGCAAGTATAATCATCGAGCACACTAAGGCTGGCAAAACGCCCGACATTTCTTGTCGGCGCCGACACAAAATCTGTTTTAGTATGAATAGGTTTATATAAAATGCTTTGCCTGCTGTGTAGTTATTGTCATTTCGACACAGTTCCAACAATAGCGTAGTAAGCCATTCTTAAAAACAGGTTTATAAACAATATAACATTAAATTGAAGTATCGCTACACTTTTTAAACAGGCAAAAGTTCACTATGCTTATATACTTTAGGAAAAAAAATATTATTTTTATACTGACGACACATTACTAACACTAAAGACTAAAAATATCCGATAATGTGATTTCAAATGAGTCGGTACCAACAAAACGTCAGATTTTCTTTATCCAGCATTAAAAAAATATTTTCTGTAGTTATAATAGCAATTATATCTTTTTATCGCTATAATCTAGTGAGGTTAGTGAGAAAATAGCTTCACGTTATTTAAAGATATACTCTGACCGCATCTGGGAAGTAAAAGTAATATGATATTTTGTGATTAAACTAAGTACGCACTCCGTCTTTCAAGATGTTCCTTTAATTTTATAAGATTAATGATACTTTGAGCATAGAGTTAGAAATGTTACACTTAATACACGTCAGATTTTAAGAAGATAATTTAAGCGTTAGTTATTTTTAATATCTAAGTCAAACAATGCATATTTATACGTTTATATTCTAGTACACTCTCTCTGTGCAAACTGGAGATTTTCAGATTTAAGAAGATTATTTAGCGTAAGTTATTTTTAGTATCTAATTCAAACATTAACTAACTGCCTCAGAGGCCGAATGGTTATCAAGCTGGACTGCCACGCAGAGGTACATTTGTAGTAGAGCACCTTGTGAAAGAGTTCATCTAGGGAAGTACTGCCACCTTACCTATTTCTGCCGCCATGCAGTAATGTGAGCATTACTGCGTTCCGGTTTAGAAAGGTAAGGTGTTGGTGAAATTACAGGCACATGGGACTTATCAACTTATGTCACAGGGTGACGGGCGCAGTGGCAGTGCCCTTCAGATCTTTGTGCTTTAAAGCTCTGAGTGGGCATTTGTTGTGGATAGGCGTGCCGTTTACCATCAGCCGTACGACTTGTTCGTCCGGTCATTTGAAAAAAAGGTCGCGGGTTCGATTCCTATGTCTATGTGTGTGTCCATGGCACCCGCGATACATGGTTTCCCTAGTGCGAAGTTATGAGTGTGTGCGTTATTTATTTAAAACAATGCAGTTTATACGTTTATTTTTATTATCTCTCTCTTTGTCTGTCTCTGTCTCTGTCTCTCTCTCTCTCTCTCTCTCTCTATCTGCAAACTAAAGACTTTTAATTAATTAATGCCTATTAAATTTTCTTTGCATTTCTGAGGCTTGGAGTCCATTCTTAAGTCAAATTTAAAGTAATATTTGTCGAATCGCTAACTCAAAATTCTATAATACAATAAAACCTGAGGACCCAGAAGTTTCACCAAAACAAAGCTTTACGTAGTGGTCTTCCGTTCCTGAAGTTTTTCTAATAAAGTCAACTGCAAAGTTTTACGTTTTAATTAAAGATTTTACGGCGAAATTTATAGTCATAACCGCAGTTGAAATTTTCGTTATTAATGCCCCGAACGTGATTGGAGAAATGTTTGGATCAACTTTCTAACCTAAAATTATTCGACATTCATTGGCAAACGTCGAGAACTTTGGAGTTCAGAACTTGGAACATGATCTGGAATAATTATTAGGTTTGGCGAATTCAAGTCTAGAATTGAGTAAAATGCCATGTATGACTTCAAAATATGGAAAAGATTTTCAATTCGACTGTACTTTTTGAGTATTTTACGCGATCACTCCTGCATTTGTGACTCGACTTCGATTATTTTTTATTGCAAAGGGGTACCTCAATAGTGGTTTCATTCAAATTTGAAGGCAATATTCCACCTCGTAAGGTGGCAAATTAGGGGATGAATCCGGTTTATTGGATTTCACCAAATTCCGTTAATCGATTTCAATAAAATCAGTCAGTTTTTGTAATAAAAAAGTTATAATCATTTGCAAGTCCTACAGTTTGTCACCACCAGTGTACCATGGTACAGGGGAAGATAGTCGAGGCCATCGGTGTACCACGGTACTGTCAGCTAGAAATGATCGAGTCGTTGGTTGATAGATGACTGTTGGCTGTAGTTGGAAAACTTATTTATACAAATTTGATACGTACGTCCTTTTACTACCTTAGACTATTTCATCATTTTGTTCTCTCCAAGACGTGTCTGAACGTCGAAAGAGCACTTGACATTGGCGCGTCTGGTTACTGCTGCATAAGGATTAGAATTGTTTGTTTATGTGCATGTAGTGTATGTTTGTTTAGATCCTGTATATTTAACGTGACCATACGTCCCGCTTTGAACGGGACAGTCCCGATTTTAGGCTTCGTGTCCCGCTGTCACCAAAATACTTAAAAGTGTCCCGTTTTCACAAAACAGAGTACACGTTACAATAAATTTATTTTTTTAAATTTTTGATTCATTAAACAATGTTGGTTCATTTTTGTCATTAATCATTTCGTAACTTTCATAAACATGTCTTTTATTTTTAAAACAATAATAAATTTACAGGCGTTCGGCTCCGAGGGAAAAAAAAGTAAAGGTCACGTTATGTATAGTAGAACATAATCATTGGTATTGAACTAAGTATTAAACGGTACATTTACATTAATCTCGGTATATCGAAGGTGCCTTATGTATAAGGGCCAAAGCGGAAAATCACAATTTTACAAGAGAGGCTGTCAAACTTTCAATCTGATATATTTTCAAGATTTCTCTCTCATCATCTCATATTTCGAGGGTTCTTTGAATATGTTTGATTTTGTTTTAACGCTACCTTATAGATTATAATGAAGTGAAGCATTTCCCCACAAAAAAATTTAAACGTGTTTGTTTGGTCCTTATACTTAGGACCTATCGATATGCGATATTAAAACTTATTAAATTAAATATGTATATTGGAAATGATACTTTATAACTTTATTTTGGATTTAAATTACGTATTTCTTTTTATAAACAAACCAAAACTGTTGACTCAGCCGCGACCACGAACCATTTAAAGGGCCTGAAAATGCAGACGTTTTTGAAAAGACAAACATGATTTAGATTAAAAAAATAGTTTTATTTTATTTTAATACTATATATGATAAAACTTTATATGTAATTCTATTTTTACTGTTATCATAGCACTTTAAGGGACTTTATAGTTTATTAGTTTTTGAACGGACGAGTCATAACCGGTTCAGACCAGATCTTTTCCAGTTAGTTTTTTCTCCGTATATGCGTCTCTGTAGTGGTTGTTGTATGTTAGTGCTGGAAACTCGTATCGCTGAACAAATGTCGTGTCCAGATGCCACACATGTTATAAATATCTATTATAAAATGCGGTTAAGCAGAACAGAACCCGTTTGAAAGGAAAAGACAAACGCTACGACAATCAGCAAATGTAGATAGGTCTATAGCTCATTGTAGTTAAGGCATGGCAACAGACCCAGGTTCAAGTTCAAACAGATCGAGGGAATTTTCCTTTGTGTTGTTCTATCCTTGTATCAACATTAATAACAAACTTGTGGAGCATTTTCCCAAAACGCATATGAATATCATGGTATAAAGCATCATGACATCCAATAAATAAGCTTTAGTATCACAACTTTAATTTCTGTATTTCCAGTACGCGAAAAAGGCAGTGACTCTAGTGAAGACATGTGAAGCAGTATCGGAGATGCGGGAATGTAGAGCTCCAAGGGATTGGTCGCTGTTGGCTTTGCAGAACATTAGGACCGGAAAGTCGCACTACTTGGTCATTTGTCGGTGTCCAGAGAACCATATACTAGGTAAGTACAGTTTTGTATTTTGAATGTAAATCTATCTATAAGCGATGAATTAGCGGTATTTGGAAAAAATATTTTAAGTCTATAAAATACTGTTTGATGTATATGTAATAGTATTTGTATTTTATATATATATATATACAAATAAAATAAATCTACATTATATGTATTTAAAAAAAAAGTACAATTTAGTTCAACCTCAAAGTTCTTCCTTCGGTTGTTGTTATTCGTATAACAGCCATTTGCACGAAGCTCTTTGCTTCCTTCTTCCTAATGCGTACGGCAACGGAACGGTATGCATTACCGGTATGTATGTTTCCGGAAACTACACTTTGGGACTATTTGGAACTGTTCCAAGCTGAAGTTAATAGACAAACGTCGATCATATCGTCAGGTTGTGGCCAGTGTGTGTCTTTATATTAAAAAGTATAATTTCGATTCTGTTTCGAATGCGTCACTTGTCATATTTTTTAAGACTTCAAAAAAAAAGGAGGAGGTTCTCAATGCGATTGTATTTTTTTGTACATATGTTACGCGATTGCTCCGGCATTTGTGGACCGATTTCGATGATTCTTTTTTTGTTGGAAAGAAGGTACTGGAGTACTGAAGAGTATTGGTCACATTGAAATTTGAAGAAAATATTCCACCTCTAAGGGTGGCAAACTAGGGGACGAATTCGATTTCGCGCATTTTCCGGTAACCGATTAAACAAAAAACTTGGCAAATAAATGTAATTCTACGAACTTTTGAGGTTGATTTTTTTTGTAAAAAAGTTACAATATATTCTGATCTCGACGTTACAGAAGGGCCTATGTCACACGACCAGCCGACATACGCGTCCGTTCCCGGCATCAGGGTATATGGAATGATGTGCGTCCGGCCTACCACGGCTTATCACCCAGGTTTGTTACCAACTAGCTACTCGATTAAAACAATAGTCTAAAACTAAGAAACACTAATGCCGTGCTCTACTAATGTGAACATGGATGTTTGCACAGAGTGTATTAGATACGACAACATGGAAACGAGTGAACAAATTGTCTAATAACACACCTCGGCGACGACGTGAATTCCGCAATTTGCCACCAAGACGCTTTAAGAAAAAGAGACAAATTGTGACAGGATACTTACATATATGAAGTGCTAAATAGAATCAAAGTATGTTAAACGCTTGCAACGTCTATCTTCGTAAGAAACAAAAGCGAAGCAAGCTCATAATTTACCTTGGCGCCGTGTTTACTTTGTTTATTTTGGTTTTCATTCTTTATTTTCTTTTTTCTTTTTTTTCAGCATATAGCCCGAACAGGTACACCGCCACCGTCCAAAGTTCAACAAGCGCGTACAAAGTGGACTATTCCCAACCTCATTCGTACTCTGACAAGCCCGTCTACAACAGATATCCATCACCCAGTTACATTGACTCCAGTTTCTACAACCGACGGTCCCGAGTAGCACGAGTAAGGCGAATGGCGCCAGAATATCCCCCCTTCCCGTGGCATAAAGTGAAAGAACTCGCGCGGTCATTACATTGGATCAACTAGAATAAATTGCATTATGTTACACGACCGCAGTGCAAATAGGAATGCGGTCTAAAGCGCGAACGAATTGCAATCACGTAGAGCAATTAGTGTGAGAGAGACAGTAATAGTTTCATATTTGCAATGTGGTCGAGTCGTAGTTTTAGGAAAGTATGTTGGATTCATCAAGGCTTTTTGTAACCGTTTAGAGAATCCGCCTCTTTGAATTCAACGCAGACTTGAAAGTAGACTATATTGAACAAAATGTCTTTTTACTGTACCGTGGTTTTAAAATATGCTTTGGAATTAATACTCTATTATTTTCGCATCCTAAACCTGCGTTTAGTTTGATGAAAATCCTATCGACTCAGAAAAATTTGGAAATACTCAACAATGCATTTACAAGCTAGATTAACACTATGAAACATTGAAGATGACGTAGTAACAAGTACTTTTTTACACCTAATTAAATGTCGTCTCATCTATTTATTTATCATTTTCATAAAAGTTAGGAGTATTTACTGTTTGCCAGATACATAGTTTATAACAATAATTTTAAGGTTCTTGGACATCATGTTTTTGTAACAAAATTAAAATAGCCCCACCAGTAGTAAATGGTGATTGGTAACAACTTTAAAAAAAAATGTAATGAAGTAGAATTTACACAAAACGATGTGATAAACGATTCAAGAACATTTTTGTGTAATTTTCGATGCATTTATAGATATTTAAGTAATAGCTATAAATTAATACAATGTTTATTTAAGTAAAACCATATTTATATGTAGAGAATTGCGGTGTAAATAGTAGACATAATTACAATATTTGTAATTACAAAAATTAAAATTAACAAAAACTTTTTGTTTTGTTTAATTATCATTTTTTCTAATCTAAGAAGCTGAATTTAACTATGTACCACAGAAAAAATAAGGGAGGCCATTTTAACTAAAAAAATAATTACAACTGTGGTTTCGGCAAGTCATTCAACTTCACGGTGATTTTTATGCGAAAAATATTACATTTTTGTACAAAATAAAACTAAATACATTTCCGGATAACATATAATTCGAGACATCTTGCAATTTTATTTTTAAAGAAAGTCGCTTAATGTATACCAGTGTCAAGATTGTATCTCAAATTTTTTTCTACTCCTGTACTTTAATCTGACAATTATAATTTCATAAACCATATTACAAAGGCGCTTTTTTAGTTCTGAAACAAATAGTATTTTAATTTTGTCCATGATACTCGCTACTGAAATTATAGTTCTGTACACAGATCTATTACAAGTTTCAAAAATGAATATCGTATTCTGCTACTTAAAGGAGTCTCTTTAAACGCGTCACCATGTTCCGAACAGAATAACGTCACTATATTAGTGAAATTATTAAAATTCATTTAGCAAAAAAGAACTAGTAAATGGTAAACTAAGGTAAAATGGTGAACTAGTAAAAAAAAATGGTAGCTGTAAAGGTACTAACTGGGTGATAAATCTTTCATAGATTTCTCATAGATGGCGCTACGACTAAAAAGTCGTTGGAAAACCAAATACAAAGACACGACGCAAGCGCATAGAAAAATTCGTGAGGTCCGTTGGTTCGTTCCGTGGCTTAGTTGGTATAGCGTCTGGCACGGTATGCAAGAAGACGTCGGTTCGAATCCGACCGGATCGAAGGATTTTTTTCTGAGTGTTCGATCTTTGTATTAATAATTATAACAAACTAGTAGAGTCATTTCACAAAAAAGAATTGAATATCAATTCAATAAAAGTTTAATTAAAAAAGAACTATTTAAAAACAATATCAAATATAACCTTACTCCAACGTTTTACTGCCTCCTCATTGGTTAAAGTACAAGAGATACTTTGCCAATCACGGTCACTTTAATGAAAGTGACCGTAATTGGCAAAATTTAATTTAATTCTCTTTGGCTTTAGTGAAAAGCCAAAGAGATCCACCACAACATCTCTTTGGCTTTTTTTTTGTTGTTTCGAATTGTTAACAAAATAATCTTTAAATATTGGTTGTATCTCATTATTTTAATTTACTCGTAGAATGAGGAAAGAAATGCAAGGCGGCTCGAATTATATGTCCGGGAGTATATATCATAATATATTATTTTATAATATATTATATAATATATTATATATATTACATAATATATTATTAATATATATATAATTATATCAAAATTTCTTATGCACATAACTTCGTTATATTTGAATTTGAAGTTACTAGAGCAGAGATTGAGACTTTGCACCGTTTTATATATATATATAAACCGTTTTATATATATATAAAACGGTATATATATATATATATACAGGGTGACAGGTTAAGTCGACGTAGATCCTTTAGGGGCTTGTAGTTTCCACCATTTCTGACTGATATGACTATGAAACACTCTACCCTAAACTTAACCCTTTTCAAGATATTTGACTTTAAGGGTTTTTTATAAAAATTGCCAATTTTATGTCTATTAGGTTACATACTTCGAAATTTGTGAGTATTATGATTATTTTTTTATAATTACTACTTATAAGATAACATGTTTTATAGCTTTAATAACCAAAATTGTAGGTAAATTAACTAAGTGGGTCACAGGAGACGGTTGAAAGTTGAAAAAGTTAAGTAATTTGTGCCCAGTTTATTTTTCTTTGAGGATTATTTAAAAAAAAGTGTAAGGCATCTGTGCGGCAGGTGTGCTTAAAAATATCTACGTTTCATTAGCTATCTAACAAGGTATAATAGTCTAGGGTTTTGTTACAATTCCAAGAAAAAAACTAGATGCGACCCCTCAGGTGGTAGTCCCTCGCCTATTGTCTTTCAATGAATGTGCCGCCGAGTGCCGCATGTCAGCGTGTTTGACGGAGTTTATCGAAGACTTAGAGAAACGGGTTCTTTTTCAAGGCGGCGAACAGACCTAGGAAGACCAAGAGTGATTGATGACGAAGAAGAACAAGAAAATGACATAGTGCGACGATTCAGATTGGATCCAACCATTTCCACTAGAGTTGTTGCGCGTGATCTGGGACTCTCGCAATGGAAAGTATGGTTTACTGTCCATACTGCGGGCTTATACCCATATCATTATACGCCCGTACAAGTTATCGAAGAAGGAGATCCTTTAAGAAGATTGGATTTCTGCAGATTTATGCTTCATGCAGATTTAGAAGACCCGCAACTTTTTTTAAATATCTTGTGGACAGATGAGTCCAAATTTGATGAAGATGGTATAACAAAGTATCACAACGCTCACTATTGGGCCCCGAAAGAACAAAGAAATCCGAATAAGAAACGAGTCAAGGGGTCGCAACAAAGATTCAGCTTGAATGTTTGGATGGGGATAATATCCAATTACTTGATTGGGCCTTACTTTCTCCCAGACAATTTAAATGGGGAACATTACGAAAACTTTTTAAGAAACCATTTACCCGATTTGCTGGATGATTTGCCGCTCAGTCTGATACGAGACATGTGGTTTCAGCATGAGGGTTGCCCTGCACATTACAGGAGAAGTGTGAGAGAATGGCTGGACACAAATTATCCCAACAAGTGGATCGGACGAGGTGGTCCTATACCTTGGCTAGCTAGAAGTCCAGACCTCACACCCATGGATTTTTATGTGTGGGGACACATGAAGAGTCTTGTGTACAGCGAGCCTCAACCAATTACATGTGTGGATGTTTTAAGAGAGAGAATAATAAATGCGGCGAATGAAATAAGAGGGCGTATAACTACTGGTGTAGTAAAAACTGGACTTAGGAAACGAATGAGAATTTGTGTGCGAAACAGAGGCGGACATTTTGAACACGAAATTTAGACAGAATAAATGTTATTTTGTACTTACATATTGTATTATTATTTTAGAAAGAAGTGATAAATTAGACGCATTAAAACCGTTATTGTTCATCTCCCTGGTAGCATTTAATTAAAGTTTTTCTACGAATTGCAACAAAACCCTAGTACTATTATACGTTTTTAGATAGCTAATGAAACGTAGATATTTTTAAGCATGCCTGCCGTACAGGTGTCATATACTTTTTTTTAAATAATCCTCAAAGAAAAATAATCATGATACAAATTTCTTAACTTTTTCAACTTTCAACCGTCTCCTGTGACCCACTTAGTTAAGTTACCTACAATTTTGGTTATCAAAGTTATAAAACATGTTATCTTATAAGTAAAAATTATAAAAAAATAATCATAATACTCACACATTTTGAAGTATGTAACCTAATAGACATAAAATTGGCAATTTTTATAAAAAACCCTTAAAGTCAAATATCTTGAAAAGAGTTAAGTTTAGGGTAGGGTGTTTCATAGTCATATCAGTCAGAAATGGTGGAAACTACAAGCCCCTAAAGGATCTACGTCGGCTTAACCTGTCACCCTGTATATATATATATATATACACAGAGTCGTTTCGTATATATATATATATCGTCGTTTTATATATATGTATGTATATATAAAGTCGACTGCCGTATTTAGGCCACGAGGCTTTGCCGAGTGTGTTCTGTGTACACTATTATAATATTCATTATAATTCTATATTACTTTTTATTTAAATTAATGTTGTCAGTGTTAGTCGGTCAATGGTGTTAGTCCCATAAAGTAGTTAAATTACGTCATTCACGTCAACATTATATATACATAGATTATAAGTGATTTTGGTTCAGAATTAAAAATACGCTCTTTCACCGAGTTAACAATTTATTTAATTTTACACAATATATTTCTTTAAAATACACTCTATTTTGGGCTGTCCTTAGTTAATATTGAAAACTTTAAATTAATTTTCCACAAATCGCTTTTCGAAGCTGTTATTATTGTTGTCTTACAAATTAAACAAAAGTTGATAACTTAACAAAATTGAGTAGCAAACTTGTTTCTAATTTCGCAACTTCCGAACATATTGGGTTTGTTACCGTATTGTCTCAAAAAAATTATTCTACCAATATCGTTATCAATATATAACTTGAAATATTGGATAGCTTTTTTTAATATGTACATTTAGTGGTGAGATTTTTCCGGTGGTCTGAGCAGCCGTTTAACTGAATCGAAGTTTGTTAAGAAATTTATAGTCAGATATGTCACTAAATCTG